TTTCGATCATGATAGCTTGAAGGTTTGCACTGTAGAGGAACGATCTATGCAAGGCACTGTCGAGCATAATGCAGGCAAGACTTCAACAGTGATGATCTCTGACGAGATGTTACCAAAAGACAATCGGAAATCATTTCAGCCGGGGGCAGAAGAAGAGTTTGTATATATCTTTGCAAAGCATTCAGAAGTGGCACAACTTTTACCAAGCCATGTAAACAATGAACTAAATTTACAATTTATGTTTTTCTTCTGCATAAATAGTTCCTGCAATGCTTGGATAAATTGTGAAGATTTAGAATTTTTACCATAAGCATCAGGATCAGCGACATGGGTAAACACATACCACGGAGGTTCAGACACATACATTGTACAGTTCCAAGAAGAAATTACAACAAATTAAACCGTAACTTCTCTAAAATCACAGGAAGACTGCACGCCTCACCCGCATAGATGTACAGTTCTAATGAGAAATCGCAGTAAATCCCATAAGTGTCTATTAAAATTTAGAGTTCCAAACATTTAGACTGATATCTGTACAATTAATAATTTCTTGATTAGGTTCATTAGGTTCTATATAACTTGAGAAATTCTTGATAACGCCTCCAGGGAATGCTCCGGGAGTAAATCAGAGGAACCTTTTAGTTAATATACAATGATCTTCACTCACTCACTCACAACCTCCAGTTTTGGAGGCAGACCAGCTCAAACATCGCCGTTGCACCATGTCTGTTTTCCCTTCTGCTCTGGCATTAACGAAAAATACAAAAATGTCGGTATCAGCAAGTAGATCATATTCTTCATGAAGTTCACTTTTCGCCATCAGCCAGTTAATTGATATCTTTTAGGGTTCTTTAAAAAAGATCCTTGAAACTCTTATTTTCCAAGCAAAAACCCACATAATATTAAACTTCCAAATAAAACTCAAATTTCAAATAGAGTACCATGTAGACAAATATGTAACCAATTATTATCACATATTTACAACTTATGCCACAAAACTCTAGTTATGTCAATAAACATTAATACCCATATGGAAATTTTACCTTTCTTGTATGATAAATATTAGGAATATATATATATATATATATATAAATTTAGCCTTGTTCATAAACAATTTATGGGCACATTTTTCGTTTGGAAAGAAAAATCCTTTGTACAATCAGTTATTTTGCATCAAATAATAATATTGTTTTATAAAACAACAAAAAACCAATTAATATTCTTTTATGTTGTAGGTAAATTATTTTACCTAGATTATTACATACATTAGGCATTTTTTGTTTGTTATTATATATGCTTGTGAAAAATAATTTATCTATATTTATATTTAAAATATAAGTAAATTAATTTTGAATCAAATAGTATTTATTTTGTAGGTAAATTAAAATAGTAGTTCCATTATTTTGGGAAAGTTAAACAGTGCCTAAATAATTTCGTAAAAATTAAACCAAGACAAATTATCTCCATTAAAATATAACAGTACATATTCAACAAAAAATAAATAAATAAATAAAATAAAATAGTAGATACATTATTTTCTTATAAGATTAAACAATAGGTGAATTATATTGTATGTCACATCCCGACCCGAGTGGGACGACTTCCCGGGCCCGCTTCCACTACCGTAGCACGATATTGTCCGCTTTGGGCTTACCATTCCCTCACGGTTTTGTTTTTGGAAACTCACGAGCAACTTCCCAGAGGGTCACCCATCCTGGGAGTGCTCTAGCCCTCTTCTCGCTTAACTTCGGAGTTCCTACGGAACCCGAAGCCAGTGAGCTCCCAAAAGGCCTCGTGCTAGGTAGGATGGGAATATACATTTAAGGATTAGTCCCCTGAGCGATGTGGGATGTCACAATCCATCCCCCTTAGGGGCCCGACGTCCTCGTCAGCACATTTCCGGCCAGGGATAGGCTCTGATACCAATGTCACATCCCGGTCCGGGTGGGACGACTTCCCGGGCCCGCTTCCACTACCGTAGCATGATATTGTCCGCTTTGGGCTTACCATTCCCTCACGGTTTTGTTTTTGGGAACTCACGAGCAACTTCCCAGAGGGTCACCCATCCTGGGAGTGCTCTAGCCCTCTTCTCGCTTAACTTCGGAGTTCCTACGGAACCCGAAGCCAGTGAGCTCCCAAAAGGCCTCGTGCTAGGTAGGATGGGAATATACATTTAAGGATCAGTCCCCTGGGCGATGTGGGATGTCACATTGTAGGTACATTATGTTTGTAATATAAAAAAAGAAATTGAAATTCATAAACAAAAAGTAGTAGATATATTAATTTTTAATCAAATTTCCTTTATTTGTTGGTGAATTATTTTCATGCATTATTATATATATTGAGCATATTTTACTACTAATATATATGTGTGCAAAAATTTACCTATATTTGTCACATCCCGGCCCGGGGCAGATCACTTACCAGGCCCGCTCCACCACAGTAGCACGATATTGTCTGCTTTGGGCTTACCATTCCCTCACGGTTTTGTTTTTGGGAACTCACGAGCAACTTCCCAGTGGGTCACCCATCATGGGATTGCTCAAGCCTCTTTCTCGCTTAACTTCGGAGTTCCTACGGAACCCGAAGCCAGTGAGCTCCCAAAAGGCCTCGTGCTAGGTAGGGATAGGAATATACATTTAAGGATCACTCCCCTGTGCGATGTGGGTTGTCACAATCCACCCCCCTTTGGGGCCCGACGTCCTCGTCGGCACACCACGACTAGGGTTAGGCTCTGGTACCAAACTGACACATCCCGGCTCGGGGCGGATCACTTCCCGAGCCCGCTCCACCACCGTAGCACGATAGTGTCTGCTTTGGGCTTACCATTCCCTCACGGTTTTGGTTTTGGGAACTCACGAGCAACTTCTCAGTGGGTCACCCATCATGGGATTGCTCAAGCCTCTTTCTCGCTTAACTTCGGAGTTCCTACGGAACCCGAAGCCAGTGAGCTCCCAAAAGACCTCGCTAGGTAGGGATGAGAATATACATTTAAGGATCACTCCCCTGTGCGATGTGGGATGTCACATTAAAGTAGGAGGAAGAACGAGAAATAACAAAAAGATAAATAAAAAGAAATAAGCAAAGAGATAATTGGGAAGAAATTTGATTTTTATAATAAATCTTATCATTGAACAGATAAGTATTGATAATTAAATAATTAAATATAACAAATTGGACTTATTTTAATAAATTGGACTATTCCTACTATTGGCTTAAAAAATTGGACTTATATCAAGTTTCCCGTATTCCTATTTAGAGAGATTATCCTCTTATATTAGAACTAATTTTAGAAAATAAAATTGGTAATAGCGTTTTTATCTTTCATTATGTTTATAAGGTATTTTAATTGGTACATCTGGGTGTTGCTCTTTGTGTGTGTTTTGTCAGGTATTTTATGTTTATAGTTATCATACAATTATCCTCAGTCTTTTGATATATGGAAAAATATAAAATATTAGTTCAATACATGCAATATTTAGTAAAATTATTTTTGGCCCTCCAATTAATGTATTCTTTGCTCCGACACCAACAAAATTGTAGACCTATATTGACGGTAAACCTTGATTAGATGATGTAATTGTGACTAATTTTACAACTACAATCTGGTGTTTTCAAAGCACCTGACCTCAGACTTGTGAAACCGATTTTCTTCATTGTTTCCGGCCACGCAAACGCACAGGTGACAGGTCCCCTCTCCTATTCAATCTCTGTTTAATTTGAATAGAATATAGTTCCAACTATCTCGTCGAAAATGTCAATGTTCAAATTTGGTTTGTTTCTTTCACGAGCTGAACTTCAACGAGCCAGACCCAATGGAAGCTCGATATGGGAAAGTAAACCCATGAAGTAAAGATTTTGCAGCCCTACCCATTAATCACTCCATCCCGCGAAACATTCCATAATCATGGACAAGTCTACAGATTATACTTACTTTCTGTTTTGATTCCGGTTCGGCTCTTCCATTCAAGAAGTCAGAATTTGAAGATGTTTTTTCTTTTGTTAGGAAGGTTTGCATTAGTAAAATGGTAGAACCTGCCGGTGTTACAGACAACAAGGTTGATCAGGTGCTGGAAGACAGAGACGAGGAACACAATGATCGATCCACGCCATCACAGTTGCCAAACTCGGAGTTTACCGCCGAGCTGAACCTTCTTACCGTGTTCCTTTCATTATTTTCTGTATCTACAGACGAAAGCTTAAATTCTGCAGAGAGACAACACGAAATGAAGAAAGACGTAGCTAAAGCTACCAAGAAATTACAAATCAACAGACGGGAGACAGACGAGGTCAAGCCAGTTCGGAGACAGAATCAAAGGTGTCGAACAAGAATAAGGGATTCCAGGCATGGCCGAAGAGTGTAAAGAATCAGAAAGCAAGATGTAATACAAAAATTTCTAGTTTTCGGTCAGAAAGAAAGCAAACACAGGATATTATCACCGAGTTTCGCCTAATTACATTACTGATGATAATATAATGCAAGATTTTTCATTTTTCGTTTTAGCTATATTCATGTATTGCGTCGTAATAAATCAAACAAGTGGTAATGTCTGAAAAAAGCAAAATAAGCAATAAGCGGACATACCTAGCAAGTTTGATCCAGGAGCTGAAATTACAAACCAAACAGTATGCAAATGCAGTCTTAAAATTCTCATGAACAGAACAAAATTAGACACGTTAAAATACAAAAACAAATCCAGTCCTCTATTAATTTGTCTTAAAAGCACAAAATTAGCAATGCTAAACCATCACCGAAAAAAAAAAAAAAAAAAAAAGTTCACATGCTGCAATCTCCAAGTATGACAACAAAGAGATTCTGAAATCATTCATAGCGCATCTCGCGTGTAAGTTGAATCATGAATTATTCAAGATATCTACCAAATGTCAAGTAGCTTAGTCTACCAACGAAATACGAGACACAGCCGCCAATTTGTTTGTTGGGGGGGGGGGGGGGGTGGGTTGGGAGGGAATGGTTGGTGATGAAGAGAGAATCGAATCAGTAACATATAACGGCATGTAGATAATGCTTTATCAGCGCTTATGGAAAGCACGCAGATGCATTACATTGTCAAAACACTTATTGGCACTTCATATGAATGGGAAGCTCAAAGCTAAATTGTGTTCATAAGGAAACAGAAAAAATGAAAAACAAGGGGAAGCAATTTATGAACACAAGACTCGCTTCTAACTTCAGAATGAAAAAGGAATCAAATTACCCCTAGTTTGCCAGACCTCTATTTCCCGGCCTACAAAAATAGCACGAGCAGAGACAAATATCATGGACCTCCCGCAATATCAGTCTGATATCCTGATCTCAACTCCTAAAACGTCCTTCACCATCTCATACGTCACAAATGCAAGCGCAATGGATGGGACTACCTGAAAATTTGGAGCAGAGAAAAATATTATGTTGGCAAAGACGTGTGTGTAAAATATTAATGACAAATAACAACTCGTCAGAAGATCAATACATCTTCATCTTTGTATAAAAAAAATTTACTGAAACGGAAAAAATCCATGCACACATTAAAGCACACACCTAGGGATGTAAATGGAGATGGTACAAATTGAATGCAGCCCCTACAAGTACTTTTTAACTATAATATGATAGTTTAAACAGACGCTGATTAATAAAATGTTTCCTGGGGGTTAAGAGTTTCATGGAACATCAAACTTTCATATACTCTTCTATAACCATTCAGGATTAGTATTCATAGTGGATACTAAAGGTTGAAAACCCTCTTGACATGTGGTACCCATACACAGCAGGCCGTGACCCATAGCTTGGAAGCCACGTAAGAATTCGCAGGACTTAATTCTAAACCCTTTTCTTGCTAATCCTAGTGACACCTTTTTTAATGGTCCAATTTTCCACAACCACGTTAGTATTTTACCAAGCAGTCAGCCACCCAATCCATTTATAAGATGCATCTAGTTGGGCTATTTGCCCACCCTGACAAAATTGTTCTTAAAAACTGAGAACTGGTCAACCTACAATTGTCCGAAAACAAATAAAAGAAAAAAAGATTAAGACTGACCTTAACAGAGTTGGGAACCAGACCCTTGTACAATGCACCAAAGCCCTCATGACGAACAGTTTTCCTAAATGCATCAATCATGCCAGTATACTCAAGTGGGGCCTTGCTTATCCCATCACCACTGACAACAGAAGCAGCATGGCTCCATCCCCCCATCTGCATCCTTCGACGAATGACATCAAGAGGATAAGCAACAGTTTGCCCAACAGTCCCAGCAGCAGCCCCGCATGCCAACCTTGTTGTCACGCTCAAATCTGTATCTTGAACAAGTCCAAATGGCCTACTTTTGATTAACCAATCCTTTAGGGATTCATACACAGCAAAGTTGAGACCAACATATGGAACCTGCAAACAAAATTTGATGATGCAAGGTTAACAACAAAAGTCAGTCTTGCAATCTGACTTCAGACTTCAGAGGAACAACAAAAGGAGCAAAAAGAGTTTTCCGCATTGATAAATCATCAGAGTTAGATCCTAGAACGACCATCTATTGCTAAATCAGCAAACTTTATTTCTTTTTAATTTCGAACTTATATCAAAAGGTTGTTAGAGTAGTAATGGATATGTGAAAACACCTTTTTTAGCAAAAGAAACTTACAACTCCAATAACAGAAGGAAGCCAACCCTTGTACAAAGCCCGTGGGCCCTCCTCCCGGAGCACAGTCGATAGGGCATGGAACATTCCCCTGTACTGAAAGGGAGAATTCTCTGTCTGCAAAATTAAGATCAACAAAACATATTAATAACTGCAAACGTTGATAGAAATTAAAAATTCTCTTGCAATTTCAATCATTCGGATTGATGATTGCTATCACTCGAAAATAAAAAGGACTTTGAATATTTGGATTGATGACTGCTATCACTCGAAAATAAAAAGGACTTTAAAATATTCATTCTATGAAACAAAGAAAAAACAGGGACCAAAATTAGTACCTGTACAGTTATCCTTCCTCGTACCATGTCCATTGGGTAAGTTGCAGACATAGCAATAATTCCAGCACATGCTCCAGCTCCAAGACGCAGGATAGGAGTGAGCTGAGCATCTTCTGCAGATATTGAAAGAAAAAGAGATTTAGATCACCTACATTAACCATTGATTTCTAACTGCCTCTCTATGTGTTCCAAGGAACTATAAAGATCATGTCATTTTCCAAATGGTGACATCATAGCAGTATTATAGTTTCTTTGTTGGTTTATCTATATTATTAAGGCAGAAGGCCTTACGTTTAAATTTTTGAATAAACCCAAAAATCCCTTTGTTTACAAGTGATAAAAAAATCAAATAAAAAAGTGGGGACAAGATGGTCAAAAGACGACGTTGAGGATATTTAAAAGAGTCACAATACTTCTACACTCCATGATTCTCTCCTGGCAGTTATCCCCTCTCCATACCTCCAAAACCGTCTTCAATCTCAAAATTTCTCACAACAAATTACTCTCAAATATTTCTAGTGCTTCAATCTCCTAGAACCAACCTGAAAATATGACTGCGTTTCTCTCTTCTATCGTAGTTCTATTGGTAGTTCTACTTACTGCTTCATCAACAGAAAAAAATTTCATTCTAGGAATCAAAGGCTGGTGCATTCTCCCGGCCAAGGTATAGAGTTTGCAATTGGTGTTGTATTACATTGATATGTCATTGCTTTTGTTTTGTACAGGAGTGAGGACTGTGAGGCACTCCATTTGAGGTACCCTTTTTTATTATTTTAAAGTGAAAAGAGCAACCCGCTTGAATTTCTCTAACCTGCGGAAAGCATCCAGTCATGCCAGTTTCATTATATTTAAATATTGGAGGGTGAAGGCACTAGGTACCAATTGTGTGGGCTACAATTTCAATCTTTGTCCATATTGTGCAATTTGGGATGATGGATGATGAATTCAGATGGTTGGAGATTTATTATTTTAAGTTGCTTCTTGCTTCCTCTTTAGTTTTCTTATTTGCACATGTTTCTATTTTCATTTTGATATATACATTCTCTAAAGTTTTTTTTTTTTGTTGTTTGACTGTTAATGTTTATTTTTTCTCTTCAATGCTGTATATATGCATTTCGTCAACGCATTTAATCACATTGATGTCTTTGTTACTGTTTTCCACAGAGGGTTGCTTTCGCTCATCCCAACATTGTGACATTGGTGATTAATTTTTAGCAAGAAAAAGCAGAGGAAACACAATGGTCTATGCGTGTTGAATTTGCCTTCATTCAGAATGTGGTTGACAGGTACTGAATAAGATTTATGTGTTTATTTGGTGGCTTAATATATTTTGATTGACATTATTTTACTGTATATTCGTTGGTATAAAAAATGGTGTTCTATTTTTTTTTTTTTTTTAACATTTTATTTATAATTTATGCACTCAATTTACTTAATCTATTTTATATTGTCAAAACTATGAATTTGCTTTCGTTTCTCATACTATTTTTCTTTTTTCAAGAGACATTTTATAAATAGGACCCAAGGGGTTTTTTATTAAATTTAATTTCTTTATATCATAGGTTTATGGAGTAACTCATTTTTTTATGCTCATATTTTCATTTAGTTTCAGTAATTGAAGTGATGCAATTGAAAGATTAAGTTGACACTTGTCTTCAACATGATATTTTGCATATCGATACCAGAAGGGAGAAGAATCAAAGACTTCTTAGGATGGAGGATTTGTTGGTCTATCAAAGTCACAAAATGGTTGGAGGTGTTTGTTGAATTGGGAAGGGCCAAAGCAAAGAACTGTAATTGAAAGCACAAAGTACATTAATATCATAAAATTGTTTATATAAAATAATTTGACTGTTTTAATTTGTAATATTTTGTGAATTTACAACATTTGTATAATGCGGTACATGCTTTTTTAGTGTACTTTTGCAATTTTGATAAGCAGTCAAGCACCGAAGAGGGTGAGTACAAGAATGAAGGCTAATATAGAACAATATCTACCGTCAACTAACCAATACATTTGTTATGTCTTGAAACATAATTATAGAAACCATAACAGCAGTGAAAAAATCTTGAAAATAAAGGGTGCGTGAATTTGTAGAAAATGTTACAGCACCTGTGACTATACAAAGGTATCTAGCAAGCTCTATGGTATGAGCTTCAATAACAGCCTATTATTTATGAAACACTAAAAAATTGTTAGTCGCACGTATCTTGTGTGATGCCTTTCCCTCGCGCGACTTACAAATTTATATTTTCTTTTCAATATTTTTATTTGCCAAGATAGTTTTGCTATGCACAAAGTGGAAAACCAATCAAATAAAAATGTCAAAACCAAATAGAAATTTCAAATTTGTAAGCTCCACCTAGCATGTTTAGTTAAAAATATGTAAGTCACGCCTAGTGTGAGCGCATGCGAAGAGGCTAGTAATGTGAATATCTGGATGTTAGATAGCCTCTTTTAGACATTTTACAAAGCATAAATATTAAAACAGCAACCCAACCTGAGTCAAAATGCCAACTGGCCCAAAGCAATAAGTAATGAAATCTCCTGATGTAATGTAAAGTCTCCAACAGAGACCCACTAGATTACTAGCTATTACACATCAAGGGAAAAAAAATGATGGTAAGTGTGGACATACCATTGCCAGTTTGATCCCGATACAGCCACAATATTCCCCTGTCATAGTTAACAAGGACAGTTCAGCAAAAGGTAAGGTGGGAGAATGTAAAATATAGCGACAAGATAAGGTAATGCATTCAGAAGTTGTAAAAAAAAATTATATCAGACCATAATACAACATTGATGGGCAAATATGAACAATACAAAAGGCCAAGATAAATTTAAAAATATACTGGAATCCAAGACAAAAAAGAAATGAACTTTCAATCTTGTCAGAAACATACTTGGAAGCTTGCTCATAGCTGAAGAACTTGACAGCTGAGTTGGGGACAATACGTGCACAATTTGTACCATTCCCTTTAAATAGTCCACGGAAACCCTCACTTCTCCAGATATACTTCAAGCCCTGTATCGTTCCATTGTATTTTATGTTATGTGGATTCTGGACCTGAAGACAAGATAACCAGTCAGGAAAGGAATGAAATTTACTTCTACGTGTTATTGTGTGTGCGCGTGTGTTGGCACATACACAAGCAAATGAATGACATTGTTCACAATTAGTTGAAAAAACGAACCTGAAGCAAAATTTTCAGTCGTTCCAATGGAGCAACAGCCGTGCGTGACCTGAACGGAAAATTAAACATTTCAGTAATCAAGAGCAGTCAACATGGGAATAGCATCGAGAACATATAAACAATGCACAATCTGATCCTGCTATTGTCGCACCGATAATACAACAATCTAGGTTCACATCACTGCAGTCTAATGGAATTCATGAGATTAAATACTTCAAATTTATGACCTTTCAAAATACTACACATGGGATATTCTAAAACACAATTCAATAGATTAGCAAGATTTAATATTTTGATCTCCTTCTTCATTTGCATTAACCAAGCGATTAAATTTAAAGATTCAGCCACATTACTTGCTTCATCAAACGAATTTTCGAAAACAAGATAAAAATTTTGCGGGAAAATTTGCTATCGATAAACTTCATTTCCATGGAAACAAACAGACCACTCAAGAAATCGAGAAACTCACACTCCACCGGCGACTCCGCCAGCAACGAGAGACTTGCAGACGCTGAGCAACGCGAGGTTCGGAGCCTTGACCACGCCCTCCCTCGCCATCTTCGCCTCCTCAGCCAGGTTGACGAACGTCGAGACCGCCGATTCGCTCGGTTTCACATCCTCCGAAGCCATTTCAGCAGAGAGAGCGAGAGAGCAATCAATCAGCGAACAACGATTCGACCTTCCTCGTCGGAACCCTAGGCCGTCGGAGCAGTAATCTGAGCCTTCGCTTTTCCCGGCGCCAATCGATCGGCACGGATTTTGAAGCCTTACAGTGTCTTTTTATGGGAAAGAGAGCATCTGGTTCTGCGTGTGGGTGTGTTGTCGTTGTGCGAGTATAGGAGTGGTGACGGCTTTCGGGAGCTGAAGGTGAGGGGGACCTTGACAAACTGCCGGAGTCTTATGTGACGGCGTTTGTTTATTTGCTGAAATTTATAGTCTACGTTTAGAGAGAGAGAGAGGAAGAGAGGAGAGAGAGAGTGAGGGAGCAGAGTGGTAGAGTGACTGGTGGAAACGAGAAATTTTTAATTGTGGCTGAAATAAGATGGTATATCAAATGCTTGTACGTAAGTTCTAAATTTTTTTTTTAAAATTATTAACTTTTTAACACGCATAAATTATCATTTATGGGAAACGATTATTGAAAAATCTTTCTGGAAACGAAAGAGTTGGGAGTCGATGTGACTTTACACATGGTAGGGGAGAGGGTTTTGGGTGGTCCATGAACCGCAAGAAAATAGATGAGGTTTTTGTCTTCTTTTTTTCATCTTTTTTAAGGAAGAATTTTGTCCAATTCAATTCACAATTTCTATTTAAACTAGTGAAATTTTTGAAAAGAGAATAATTAGGTTAAACAATTTATTGTACGATTTTAATCGTTCATGCGTTAGAATAAACATCATATTATTCTTCTTATAATCAACTTTTTATAAAAATCCTATCATTAGTCTTTTGTTTGTAAAAAGTTCATTATGTTTCGAGAAATCAAAGGTAATAACATAATCAAAGTATAAGAAATTAAGGTTGTATTGAAATTATTCACTTTTTTTTATAGACGCCATAGGCTTTAGTTTTATTTAGGTATTTTGCAGGCAAGTATATAAAATTCGACTCTATAGATAAAGGATTTTGATCTCCTATAAAAAATAAAGATCATTTATGCATAGCATAGTCCAACAGAACTCACTTCAGTGCAAAAGATGTTTGAAGATAAAAATATTTGAACACAGGGTCTAGAGTTTATGAATAACATGAGCTACAAGGTCTTTGGAGTTTTCTTCATAGATTAAATTAATTGAAATTAAATAGGTCAGATAGGATTCGAATTTCACCTTTTTACATAATATCAAACAACTCTTACTCGGAGAAAACGAGTCGGAGATAACCCCCTAAATTTACACCCAAATCATATCAGAGGGACTTGTATTTATTGAATAAATCAAACGGACTACAATGGAGGACAGATTAAATGGATCTTTCGGTGCTGCATACACTGGATCACCAATTGAATTAACCAATAGGTAACGGACAGGTGTCAGTTGACGATTGCATTGCCAGGACCAAAGTTCAGCACACTGCAGCGTACCAGAGCAACAGGGTATCTTTCCCTCCCGTCTCTTTCGCACTTAACGGAAACCTAACTGCATCTGACGACGTTGCCCCTTACCAGACATAGCACACCACAATTGGCGGGCTACTCCGGGGCCCACCAATCATGACCTTTTCACGTGATAAATGATCTCTTCGCACGGATGGAAAATTAGTTGTTTACTCTCCTTGCAACATGTGCACACTTTAGAGAAAGGCTATGGAACACCGAAATGGGCCAAAAAGGCTTAGGACACAGTAATGGGCCATAAAATATAGGTCCAGCATCGTCTGTGCACTGGAGAAAATGGAAACTAACGATGTGGCAATCCTTTAGCAGTCAGATCTTGTTGGATGGACAAGATCAAAACGCTTTGCGTAGTCTTGTAGGTAAAATAAACATGCAGAGGATCCTAGTCCTTTGGGGATAGCATGAGGTGAAACCCTCAGCTCATAACTTTTCAATACAACAATATTAATTAAATACGAAAAAAATTAGGAATTAAGCTAAGCTTTATAATGGATTTGCCGCAATAATTTAGTATTAAACTCGCCGTCAAACCTAAGGCGTTCATTTGCAACTTGCAAGTAAAAAGAAATAACACTAGATTGTTGTAAGTGTCATATTGATTATTATTATTTTTTTTTTTGGTGCTTTTTAACTAAGAGATCGGGTCAAATTACTGCATGAAATCGTAGAACCATAGAAAGGCCTCATGGGTGATGCTAGGCTATAATTTTGGGTACTGTTTTTCATTTGTTTCTTCTGATCCAGACAATGGGAATTTGGGCTTTCTAGTGGAAGCCCCAAAATGATTGTTGCCTTTAGGGCATATCTGTCTAGTGGCAGCCCAAAGCATGTCAAGAAATTCTAAAATCCATCATGATTGTTGTTTTTGAGATTTTTATTATTATTTTATTTTCTTAATATATCATGGATTTCATTCGTTGGAGAAAACATAGGATAAAGAGTTGTATAAGAAATACAAAAGGGAAAGAAAAGAGATGGCAACTTTGGGCCTCTCTAAACATTGGATTGTATATTGGAATATGTTGCGAACTTAAACAAGTATTCGGTCTGAAAAAAGTCGGAGTTTCATCATAAAAGTAATTAGCAATATCGTTTTATGACCCAAGAATAGATTTTTCTATTACAAGTAGAAATAGAACTACAACTCGAAAAGAAAAAACAACTAGAAAAGCTATTAAAATTACAACTAGAAAAGGAAAATCCATGTACTCCTATCAAGCTTCGTTTGAGGAAGTAGTTCAACCTCTTATAAGCTCTTGCACGATTTGATCCTTCACCAATGTGGGACACGTGCGACCTTTGCACTTTACACGTGGGACAACCTGCTCTGATACTATAAAGAAAATTAGGATTCCACCCTAAAACCAAATCACAATATAGAAAGTAGCTCAACCTCTTATAAGCCTTTGCATAGTTTGGTCTCTCACTGATGTAGGACTTTGTCCTCACAGTGTTAAGTTTAAACAAAAAAAACTAAATCTAAAATCAAGGCAAAACCTATGTAATGTGCCACTCCATTAACTTCTCTAAATATAACATAAAAGCTCGAATAAGTAAAATGAGAAAGTGAAAGTCACATAAAACAACTTTTTATGTTTTAAAATTTAGATATTCGTTAAATGATCGCTATATCAATGCAACAACAACAAAACAACATCAACCAAGCCTTTTTCCACTAAGTAGGGTCAGATGAATGAATACTAGAGCACCCTTACGCTCGGTTTTGCGCCAAGTTTTCTATTATCTCCAAGTACTTCATAACTTTTTTTATAGTCTCTTTCAAAGTCTTCATAGGTCTTCCTCTCCCCTTTTTCCCCAAGCCTCCGTCTTATAGCTGCATCGCATCTTCTAAGCGGAGTATCTATAGGTTCTCGGCTTACATGTCCAAACCATCTTAACCGTTTTTCTCTCATCTTTTCTTTAATTGCAGCCACTCCTACTTTACTTCGGATATCCCCATTCTTAATCATATCCTTTCTTGTGTGCCCACACATCCAACGAAGTATTCTCATCTTTACCACACTCATTTTTTGTACCTATTGCTTTTTTACTGTTTAAAATTTCATGTCATAAAGCATCATTAGCCATATTGTTGTCTTACACTTCATGTTTATTTAGTGGTATACAATGATTGCACAACATACTTGATGCATTATTCCACTTCATCCATCCAATTAGTATTCTATAGTTGAGATCTCCATCTAATTTTCTATGATTTTGCATGATAAATCCAAGATAACGAAACTCTTTGGTACTTCTATCATCCATATCCATATCTCTATCAACATTAATGTGATGTGGATCTATGTCAAATCACATGTAGTCATCTATGATTACCATGATGCATCTCAAGTTGAAGTTGTTCTTACAAACATAGCTTGATCAATAAGTAATTTGCGCAGAGATTTTCAAGATGGATCTTCAAGTAGCTTCGAGAGATATCTCTTTCTATTGAATAATTACCAGAAGATGATAGATTTCTTATTGCGCATTCATATATATCCATACTCATCTACATGAACCAAACAACACATTATTGGGCCCTACAAAATACTGAGAGATTTGAGGTGAAGTCAAAGTTCATAGCCATAAGTACAAGATATTCGATGATGCCTCAGGTCTAAGAACTATTTGCATACTTTCAATGTGAAGTTTTCTAACATTTGACATATGGTAATCATCCATATGTTTAAGCTTCTTAGGTAGTCAATGTTTAGAGAACTTATTCAACAGACAAGCATGTGTATATCCACCATGTGTCCAACATACACATAGCACATGACAATGCTAACCTTAATGCAATATACATCAGCCTTACCAGTAAGTCATTGCCCAATTGGTTTTTCAAACGGCTAGGAACTTTGTTTAAGGACTAAGTGACTATAATATGTCTCCTCTACCTAGCCTCATTTGGACATTGCTTCCATATTTTAAAAGGAAAACTAACGAAAAGTCTAAAAAAGCTTTAGTTTTAATGAAAAATAACAAATAAAAGTGTACTAAATAGTACCAAGGAAAGGTAAAAATATGGTTTTTCATTGAAAGTGAACGATACCGGGAGTGTTTCATTAAAAATCCCTATTTTAAATTATATAAACTCATTCTTAGTATATTAATTAATTAATACAAAGTTGTTACATAATATCCAATATTACGAAATTGACTTTTACGGCACAACTCCAATAGCCCTGCTATATATGAGCCCCCTCCAACAAATGTCAGGTTTTCTTCTTGTAGTCCTTTACCAAGCGCACAAACTACAAACAACACCACCTCATATTTAAACAACAATTGTCGCTTTAGAATCTGAGATTGAACTGATCACAATTATGAATTAAGGGCTTTCCTCGTTATAGAAGGAGAGCGACTACAACTATGGTCAATTAAAAAGAACAAACGTTTGGAGGCTAGACTTTAATCACGTAAACGACTATCTTTGAAATTCACGTAGCGTACAAAGAAAACAAGAAATGTTTCTTACCATCGCGGGTCATATAAACCACTAATGTCCATGACACTCTTTTACGTGCGTTTGTTTGCCCTCACTAGGTTGGACTGGACTGGACTGGACTAGCTATTAGTCCAATACTGTGTTTGTTCCATGCTGGGACTAACATTGATGAGACTAAAGGGGACTAGTATGGACAAAACCCTTCACTAAGAGGTCTTAGCGAGACCCCCCAATAACCATGGGACTAGCTAAGACTATCCTCTCTTTCTCATCCTCATCATGATCAACGACCACTCCCGACAAACTCCTCGTCATCTCCGGTCACCTAGATCAATCATTAACTTTCCGACTCTCTTTCAGATCCATTTCACAACCAACTTTCATATAAAATATACCAAATTGAAGCTAAGAGTGACAAGATTACGATTTTACCTGAATTGAGGCCAA